TAGTACCCATTACTAGCAATAAACGCCTTATTTTCATTTTTGAAGCAGATCTTCATAAGTTGTTGCATATTCCTGATAAAGAGGTTATGTTCAAAGTTCGTAAACATGTCTGTGAAATGGCCAGAATATATTTTTACATTGCCGTGGGTAATATTAGTGAGCTCCCGACTTATATTGATGGTGTTCATCGACCAGCAAGTCCTAATTGTTCTGTTTCGGTTTTGCATTACTTCTGCATAGTTTATGATATGGTTTTTGCAATGTTTGAAAATAACACGTAGTTCTTTAGCTAGGGGTTTGATGCTACTGCTACTGCGCGCCCGTAATATATCTAAACTTGATTGGATCTTTATGCAGTTTAGGCAGGGCATATATAGTTGGTAGATCTAAATCAACTTCTATATTGAGGTTGTTCCTTACACAAAAGAATTTGTGTTTCAGTACCAACGGATATTTGTTACCCGACCTCACGAATTCATATGTGTTATTACTGTCCCCGTATACGAATATGCCATTAGCATCGTCATAGCTTATTCCCATTTCTTTCATCAAGTTGATTAAGTGAAATCTTGCATATAATTCCGTAGTTGTTGCTAGCTTTGTTAAGAGGACAAAAAATATAGTTATCCTGAATTGTTTGATCAAGTCGTAAGGTTCTTGATCTCCTTCATTAATGATATTATTCTTCGTGAACAGCGGTTTTACTTTACTTTGATAACACGAATGCAGATGCTGTTGCAATAGGTTGAGTTTGTGACTGTTTGCTTTATATTTGTATTTAAAGTAATTAACAACTTTGTTAAGTGTATCCTCATGAATCGTTTTAACTTCTTGCCTTTTATTCCTGTGTCTATTTCTGTGTCTATATTTCGTTACTTTCATCATGAGTTTCCTGAGTTTTCTTTCCTTCTACAGAATCATACTGCCTGTAATAATGTGTCCGTGCTTGCTGTCTATATATTTCTGCACTTCTTCTGAATTACAGATACAGCCACTAGTGATTATCCGCTTCAATTTTTCGTTGTCAAGATTCTTTAATACTTTCTTATAATTGCACATTTTATTAGCCACTGTGTTATTGTAATTATAAATGACCAGTCGCCTCGCCGGCTGACCCCGGCGCGGCTCCTTCTGATACGGCCCGGCTGTGCCGGGCGGGCGCGGCTTCGCCGCGCGTACATTCTTTCACATATTTCTAGACTCAACTGATATCCGCTTTTTGTTCTGTACCCCACTTTTTTCCGGTGTCTGAAGTACTCTTGAGCTTAAAGATTCTTCGTCTGACTCCGCCCACCTCAGAGGAGACCCCGCCCACAATTTTTGTGCCCCACAATCTTCACCGGCGACCTCTGCTGACCATAATCCACTTTTTTCCGGTGTCTGAAGTGTTCTCGAACCGTTCTACAGAATTTTTTTCTAGCTCCGCCCACCTGGAAACAGGTTTCGCCCCCAATTTTTGTGCCCCACAATCCTCACTGGCGAAACTCTGCTGATGTTAATCCACTTTTTTCCGGTCTTCGGAGTGCTCTGGGACCGTTTCTGCAGATCTTTTGTCTGACTCCGCCCATTTCGTAGCAGGCCCCGCCCCCAATTTTCGTGCTCAACAATCCTCATCGGCGACCCTCTGCTGACCTTAATCCACGTCTTTTCCTGTCTTTGAAAAGCTCTGGGACAGTTCTAGAGAATTTTCCTCTGGCTCCGCCCACCTCGGGCTGGCCCCGCCCACAATATGTATACCCCACGGTCCTTAATCGGCGACCTCTTTGCTGACCTGAATTCACTTTATTTCCGGTCTTAGGAGTGCTCTGGAAAGCGTTTTACAGACCCTTTGTGTTGCTCCGCCCACCTCGGAGAAGGCTCCGCCCACAACGTTTTTGCCCCACAATCCTCACCGGCGACCTCAGCTGACCTTAATCCATGTTTTTTCCAGTCTTTTGAAGTGCTCTGGGACAAGTTTTAAGAGAAGTTTTGTCTGGCTCCCACCTCGGAGAAGGTCCGTCCCCACGCTTTTTGCCCCAAAATCCTCACCGGCGACCCTCCAGCTGACCTTAATCCATGTTTTGTCCAGTCTTTGAAGTGCTCTGGGACAGTTTTAGAGAAGTTTTGTCTGGCTCACACCTCGGAGAAAGGCTCGCCCCACCACGCTTTTGCCCCACAATTCTCACCGGCGACCCTCAGCTGACCTTAATCCATGTTTTCTCAGTCTTTGAAGTGCTCTGGGACAGTTTTAGAGAAGTTTCGTCTGGCTCCGCCGGGCTGGCCCCGCCCACAACGTTTGTTGCCCCACAGTCCTCACTGGCGACCTTTGCCGACCTTGATGGCACGTTTTTCCGGTCTTTGCAATGCGTCTGAACCGAGCTACAAATTTTATGAGTATCCTGCGATCTAGGGCAAGCTCGCGCCCACCTGTGGCGCGGATCTCAACACATTGGCGTCCCTGTATTTCGCCGAATATTTCATTCTACACTGTTTTTTGCGACTTCCAAGCACTTCCCGCGATCCGAGTTACTGAATTTCGCGAGAAGCTCTGCCCACCTGAGTACGCGCCGCCCATTAAGGGTGTACCTGCCACAGTTAGGTCTGACGACTCCTTACTAACCTTAGTCCCTTTTTCCCCATCTTTGAGCTGCTCGGAAGCGAATTTGAGCATTGTTCTGCAGAACCCAAACTTTCGGCGAGTGCCCCGCCACTGTGGCGGGGCTCCCATAGGTCAAGTGTGCTTTTTATTCCTAGTCCCATGCCCTACCATCCCCACCTTGACTGGAGCCTCTCCAAGTCGTTCTTCAGGTCGAAACCGGAATTTCCGGACAGACAAACTTACAAACTTACAAACTCACAAACAAACAAAAAAATAGACAAACAAACAAACAGACAAAGCAAATTATATATATGGGGTCTAATAGGTGTAAAGTTGCGTCTGAGGGCAGCCTAAATTGGGAAGTTGAGCGCACGAGTGAGTGGCGGCAGTGGTCTAAATGGTGGTCCATGTCGGAAACCCTTCGCGACAAGGATTCCAGACTATTTCAAGTCAAAGATCTGTCTTACTGTAATCCGAGCTATCGCGTTATATGGTGCCGAGTGCTGGCCCGCGACCAAAGAAGTTCAAGCTCGCCTCGGTGTGATGGATATGAGGATGTTTGCGCTGGACGGCGGGCGTCACGCGACGCGACCGCATTTGTAACGATGTCGGGCGCAAGAAGTATGGTGTATCCCCATAAAATGGCGTGAACTCGCTCGCTTTCGATGGTACGGGCACGTACTTTGCGCGAAGGCTGACACCGTCCGTAACACCTGGTTTCGAACTCGAGGTACTTGAAAGAGGCCGAAAGGGGGTCCCAAACAGCGCTTGCTCGACACGCTGCATACCGACTCAAAAATAGCCGGCATTCACCCGCGCTCAGGCATTTAATCGGGAAAAGGGGTGTAGTTATTTCGAAAAGAGCGGACCCCGTCACCGAGCGGGACAAACGCTAAAGAACAAGAAGAAGATGTCCTTTTTTGGACAAACCACGTATAAGGCCTGCATTCTCGCTCCGCATGCATCCTACCATATACGCTAAGTTTGTCTGTTTGATGTGTGTGTATGTTTGTGAGTGTGTTTGACCGGAAATTCACAACTTTCTTTAGAATAGCGATAAAGCGCTCAAACTTATAAGTGATGCAGGGGATCGGGCAGGAACACTACTGGTGGGTGGCGAGAAGTGATAACAGTTGATAAGATACCATAAGGGGCGCCTTATACAGGCAAAAGCCGCAAATTCATAACGCGCGTCACAGCAAAGCGAGCGTTGGCTCTAAGAAGTAAGATAGGGGGCAAGATGGGGACATTATTGGAGGCTGGCAGGAAGTGATAACAGCTGATAAGATACCATAGGAGCCTCAGGGGTCACCTAATTCATAACACCGGCCACAGCAGTGATGGAACGTTTGTTCCAAGAAGTTAGTTAGGGGGCAGGATGGGAACATTATTTGGTGAGTGACAGGAAGTGATAACAGCTGATAAGATATCACAAGGACCTTGAAAAGAGTGGGTTATCTATTCAATAACACGGCCACAGCAGCGATGGAAGCGTTCGTTCCAAGAAGTGATAGGGGGCAGGTGGAAACATTGCTGGGTGGCAGGAAGTGATAACAGCTGATCAGATATCAAAGGGCCTTAGAAGGAAAGATTCACCAGCTTCATAGCGCGGACCACAGCGACGACGGGATGTGGGTTCCAAGAAGTTAGGTAAGGGGCAGGATGGGAACATTATGATGGGTGGCAGGACGTGATAACAGCTGATAAAGTACCAGGGGACCTTTTTGAAGAGGGTCCCGAAAGTTCATAGCACGAGTTTGTAGCAACACTTGGGAACTGTTCTCTAGCAAGTCATACGGAAGTGAATTAAGAACATTGGTGAAGGACATAAGTTGTGATATAGTTTGAGGAAAGAGCTCATAAAGATCAGTATCTAATCGCATCCTTACTCTGCTCAGCTGGACTTCAGACACCGGTGCCACAGAAACAATGGTCAGAGTCTTAGTGGATCAAGTTATTCTATCCCTTATAGATATGGTTACGACCGCTAAGCTCTCGAGTTTCGACGAAAATTAAAAGCCTGGAAGCTGCTCAACGGAAGCACTAGGATGTGAGAAATGTGAGGATATTTCACTATGACATCGATTTTATTACCACCAAAAGTCTTTCAACCGCTGAGTTGTCCTATTTCCGATGGATGGTGAGTGATTCGTAGAATGTGATAAACACCAGACATTAGCAAACGTTCATTAAATAAGAGAAACATAATGAAATGGGTCGTATTCCAAAAAAATGTAATCGGGCGAAGTGTTTGGGGTCAGTACAGAAATCCTGTCAGCGATCAGTACCATTACCATAGGTCCAACCGTACGCGCAGTAGTGCGCGTCAGCCCAGCTGGTGCATGTATAAACAGGCGATTGAGCTCGTGAGCATAAGCACAGCAGAGCGCTCGCATAACAAGTAGTGGACAAGAAGACATGTCTACTTGAAAGTGGGTAGCAAAAGAAAATGAAGTGTTCAAAGAGGTTTCCCGTTCACAGCAGGGGAGCTACTTCTTCAAAAAAGGCAGAAAAGGTAGATTCGCTTCCAACCGCGCTATCCAGGTCACAAAAATTTAACTACTACGAAAAAGCGAACTAGCTAAAGCAACAGCATGTACTGACGGTGACAAACCATTTTAGAACGTGCCACGCTGTGTCGGTGAAGCCTGCAGACGTAAAACACGACGTGGTTGAGGCCTCGCAGTGAACAGAGATCCTATGAGCGGTTAAAGAAGCTCCCGCGATAAAAGTCTCATGGATAGCTGCTTTCCAATTATGAAAACAGCAGCTGATAAGTAATCCCCAAAGAAGAAAACAGGCAAGAAGGCATTCTTCAGAACAACATAAAAAATCGCTCCCTCACAGTTACACCTCCCTGCGGTCTCTGTGCAGCCCCTAGCTCACAAGTCCTCCCTATCACATCTCGCAGTAGTTTGATACTCATCCAGTGCAAAAGAAAGAATACAAAAGAAAACAACAAAAACGCAGAGGAAAAACTCTGGGAGGAAAAGGCATTTTATCAACACGGGTCTGAATTTGGGATTACGGTAGCGCACTTTTTGTGCGTTCCGTGGTTTTGTCATCACGAAATTGCGTCACTCGTGTTTTTTTACGCGTTTCACCTCGCGAAATGGGTTGAATTGAATGTATATACTTGCAATGAGTAAACTGTAATGAAGGAGAGCAGAATTATCCAGGGGCATTAGCAATGCCCGCCGCCCCAACTAAGAACAAGTGAGTGGCGTCGGAGGACATCTAGCAAATAAAGGCGGTCCGACTGAGGAGGAGTTAGAACCAGCACTTTGAGCGGCTATAGCAGCCTCCACGCTCACAATAAAGTCGCGAAAGGTGAACAGTCTTCTAGCTTGGAGGCTAGACTACTTGCACAGCAAAGGCGACCACGAGCCACTTTGATCGCGGGGGCTGTCTTTAAGCCTCGCTCGAGAGTGACCACTCGCGCTGTCGAATAGCAAACGAAGTGGAGTGAGGAGTCTAGTGGAGAAGATAAATGTAAGGCACTGACAAAGATCGATCACTGATGAAATTCACGGGATTTCATCGCAAGTTCCACACCAGCAAAATCAAGAATCAAGAGTAGGGATGAGCGTTGCCTTATTTGCTGCTCTAATATGGCTCCCGGAAAGCCTTTAAAAATGAAACTTTTATCCCTTCGAGAAGAAGTCAGCCACACATTATCGTGCCCTTTCATGTGCACCAAATAAAATTAAGTAAAATCTTTCAATGTGCTTAGTCATACGCTTATTTATAGTACAAGTTGACATTTGTCTCACCTCCACTCTCATTTGTGTAGACAACATTTCAACAGTCGAAGAGAGATGCGCACTTGGGTGAAAATTGTCGACAGCATACCCGAAAATAGGTTGTGTGAGGGAAAATAATAAGCAATCACAATAAACTCACCTTCTCTCTTCACCGGTCACCAAATCGCACTTGATCCCCAGTTCATTACTTCTTGTGAACACTTCCGAAGCGAGTAACTTTAAGGGTCCACAATATACTCCGCTCTTCGCCTCTCCAAATCTGAAACAGGTGGAGTGCTAAAAGTATAGCCAGAACACTGCCAAAAACCGTGCCGTTAAGCTGGGGATTTTCATGAAACCACTATGCTCACCGTTTCAATGCATGAAAGGTCTTTCCTGAATTGGTCGGCCCTGCGTGGAAAATTATCTTCCGTTGAACAGTACGAGCATCAGGATACCAATTGTGCGGCTGCGTTAAATCAGAAATCATCCGCAAATCATCCATAGCTTCCAAATGTGGAAAAACCTCAAGAATGTGGGGTAAAGGTTAAGAAAAGCCAAGCGGTGTAAGAAACTATGAATTCCCGATCGTTAATGTCTCCAAGCCGCAGAAGTCAGTTCACTACTTCCCAGCGGAATAGTTATCAGTGAACGCTGGAAGCCTTGCTTTGATCATATCAATGAATCGTTGCGTACTGCTTTCATAGTTCACCTAAGCTTGTTTGTCAGTCGTGAACAAAAGTGGCCAAAATTCATATCTTGCATTCTTGTAGTCCTTTGTTCATACGCCAGCTAAAGAACGAGCTACACAAGACTGTGAACCTTGGAACGATGTGACCGCTGAACGCATCACCATAGTGATTCACTCGTTGAGGGTGAGGTAGTACTCGAGTAAGTTGCAAGACAACTCTTTCTACAGACATGAACTGCATACACGAACTGTATCTGATGATCTTGATATTTCCAATACATACCAACGATTAAACTCACTTTACGTGCATGAGCGAGAAAATATGGGAAAAGGCTCTCGACGTCGTGACCATCTTTAATAATATCTTGAAACAGCACCAATAGAGCTGGCTCAACTCCTCCCTTTGAAAAGATGAATGAATGGTGAATAAAGGAAAAGAGGAACGTAAGAGACCACTTCGCCTACCTTTTCGCAGAGGCAGTATTCACGAAATGATCTGTAAGCTGTAACAAATAATTTATTGTTGAGTCCATTTTCAGTAGCGAGGTCTCTGACGGCTTTTCTTCGAAAGAACTCATCCAGTGCCAAACTCATATTCGTCTGAAACAACAACACCTATCGTTCATTTGAAATATCAAAGCGACCTTATTTTGTCAAACACGCACAGAATCAAGTCCATGAGTCCACTGCTCTACTCCGATAGCTGACGTACGGGGTGGTGCGACCACACGAGGTACGACGAGGTCCTCAATAGCACTTCCTCCACGATCGGCCGGTACGCCTGTAAGCACAGCTTTTACGAGAGGCATAGGAATTCCGAATAGAATAGGATATCACCGACATTGTACGGGGTTCAGACACAAACTTGGCTATGACGGGTCAACTGAACATCCACCCCTTCTGCGTCGGTTAATTGATATCAGGCCCGTCTGACTGTGAGAGGATAAAAACATGCATTGGGTTGGCCCATTGACGATAGCGTTTTTTCTTGTATACGATTTGGTGCAAAAACAGATTTGTTCCCCAATGTGTTCTAAATGGCTAACTTTCTGCTCTGTAAAGCTGTGACGTCACCCTTCTTCCTTGGTTTTTGTCGAATTTTTTGTGATTAAATTGGAGTACTGAGTCGCCAAAAAAGAGTTTTCACACTACCTCATCATATGTGGCGTCGTTCTTGGGAAGCAACTGCCTGCAGAAATTATCCACCAATTTTTGAGCCTATCCCTTTAACTGAGACCACTGGCTTCGCCGGCTGACACCGGCGCGCCTCCTTCTGAGATGCAGCAGGGCATCGTCGAGCTCCGCCGCGCTTACCTTCTTCCACACATTTCATTAGCCGCGTAGTATCGGGCCCTTCTTTTACCCGGACGGATGGTCAACATTCTTTGACCTATGACATCATACCTGCTACTTTCAACACAATTACGGTGTATGGAGTGGTGGTAAGGAGCGTTGATCAAGTGGACAGATGAGAGAAAAGCTGTTTCTTTATTCGAGCATTTATCATACGAAGACAGGTAGGCGCGATGAAGCCTCCCCCCGCAAATCCGGGCCGTATCACATGGAGGTCTGGAGTGCCTGGAGTGCTCTGGTACCGCTTGAAGAATTTTTAAGGCTGGCCTTGCTCACCTTGACGCACGCTCCACACACATCAGGTATGCCTTACGATTGTGAACGGGTGACCCCTCGATGACCTTAAACCACTTTTTCCCAGTGTCTGGAGTGCTCTGAAACAGTTTTGCGAATTTTTTAAATTTGGCTCCACCCACCTCGGGGCACGCCCTGCCCACAACGTATGATTCGCGCTTCTCAACTAATAACCCCTCCCTGATCTTAAACTTCTTTTTTCCGGTGTATGGAGTGCTTTGGGACCATTTTGCGAATTTTTTCCGAATTTGGCTGCGCCCACCTCCGCGCAAGCTCCGCCCACAGCGGGAGTGCCTCGCACATTCTTACATTTGATCACTTGGGTACCACAATCCATTTTTTGGCACCATCTGCAGCGCTTTAGGACCGAACTACGACTTCTCTTTTGTACCTTGTGTTCAAATGCACGCCCCGCCCGCTGCAGGCGGGCCTCATTACGTCGTAAACATAGTGGACTCTTGCCAGACGTTCATCTTCGTCATGGACTTTTCTGCAATCTCTAAACATTTTCGGGGAGTTACCGACCTTTGTGGGAAGCGCCGCCCATCTCAAATACGCCCCGCCCATTTCGAGTGTCTTTCCTGGGTGAGCACCTTTAGTTGGAGTGGCATAGTGTAAGATACTGTAGCCACCACCTATATCCCGAGGTCTGTCTGCAGCATGACCTCACTTAATTGCTGCGCTGACCCCTCCCTGGCTGCTCAACGAAACGTGATGAACCGAATGTTCTGCCATTGAGTTTTATATCGTTTTGCAGAGAATTCCTTGCCCTATTCCTCGAACAACTTCTCACACAAATATTTAAGTGCTCAAGCTGCAGCGTCAGGTCGACGAAATCGAGCATGTTCGACAGCCTCCCCTTTTCACCTCTAATTAAAAACCGAAAACCACATAGGGTTGCTAAGTAAATAGCCAAGAGACTATGTCTCTTAGGAACGCTTATGATCGTTCAAATTATTCAACGATTTCTTTCGACCTCACAGACAAGCATCGAAACTAACGCGCTATTGAGTCCGACTTAGTGCTTACTGAGTTACCTAATTCACGAAGATTCATGCCAAAGATTGTGGAATCGTTGTGGATCATCAAATCCTTCCTTATGTGATCAAGCATCACCTTTCCTCGATGTTTTACGTTCAAAAGTAGGGGAGGTTCTGCAAGCAGTCGCTCCTCAAGAGGCATTCAAAAGTTAGGGGAGGTTCTGCAAGCAGTCACTCCTCAAGAGGAATCCCGATGCACATTTACAGGGTCCGAATTCCCAGATCTTGATGGCCTAAGCCAACTTCAAGCTGTCATCAAGAGCAGCTTTGCTTAGTGGATATTGCATCTCCAAATATCTTGCGCTTCTTATGCTATACGCGGGAAAGCGAGACAGGGGTGTGTTTGTGTGTGGTGCATGAGACACGGTGTTGTCGAATTATTACCACTGTTGGCGCTCGTATTCACGAAATTAATATCAGCAACACATAGCGGGACGCCTGGGACGCCGGTAACTACTATCTCTGTATAGCCAGCGAACTTATCTATTAACTGTGGTATCAGGCGCAGTCCCGGCTGGGCGGGCGGACCGGAGCGTGTTCACTTCTCCAGTGGAAGTGTTTTTCGATCAGCCCGGTCCCTCACACGTCTGTGCCCCTTTGGAAGATTCCACAGCAGATGTAACGTGGTGCATCGTTAACAAACATGGACACTCTGAATTTCCTTCCCACCCCCGCTCCCGTTTCCCCGCATCCCGATATATTTGTGTCGTCTTCTCATATGGAATTGGGGGAATTTACTCTGATATCGAATAACTACTACTAGATGAAATCGATTCGCTTCATCTCGCTCCGTTGAGGGCGGGTGTGGGTGATCCCGAGGTCAGCGCTGGGCCAGCAATCCGGCGTCATGCTGAGCAGGCTCGGGATATGCCGTAGGTGGTGGCTACGTATCTTCCGTATGCCACTCAACGGGACTATGTCACGTGTGCTGCAGCTGCCACTGCTTTTTTGCGCACTTCTTCCTCCTCATTTAATGGCAGAGGTCGCTGCGGAGTGACCCACTTAATGCATGGCTCGTGCTTCTAAACCTCTCATCGATTACGCTGTTCAAACCACCTACCTGCTTAACCACAACTCAAATCATGAATCGGAAGTGTGAGACTGAATGAGGATTAAGTTCTTCTAACGATGATTAATAGAAAAAACATTGTGGAGACCTTTTTTCAACTCGAATGGAAAAGAGGGTCTATTGCGTTTATAGCGAGATATATAAAAGAGCAATTACCGCCTTCAAGCGGGCGGTCATTCGTGAATGTGACCGTCAGCGCTTTTGATTATCCTAGATGTCTTTTGGGATCTAACACCGGATAAAAGGTCATCGTTAGAGAGTACTTTAGGGGGGCGGTCTTGGACACAGCCGCCAGCACTGCTTTGCACCTCACTTGAGCCACGCCCATGGCAATCCACGATTTCTCTGCGCGATCTTCGCGCTCCTCATCCTCTTCTCACGCTGCTTCCCTCCTCCCTAGCCTTTCTAACTCTAGCACTAGGCCACCCAGGAACATGCTACAGATTCGGGACTATGAACTCGCCGGTTCTGTCAAACGCCCCGTCACATATGTCCGCACCTTGTCCATCATTACAACATGCCGCTTCTGCCCCAACTTTTTCCTCCATCCTTCACACCACAATCGACCACACTACATTGCACCACTTCACACGCTTGTTGCAGGTATACAGCTTCAGCTGGCCACTTCCTAATGATCTGCATGTCGGCTTCACTTAGACATGTGCACGTACTGCAGCTCAGCTCCTCAGCACACGGAAGTCTATCGGCTTCGCATTTCATCTGCAATCTTCACGCGCGCGGCACAACTCGCTGCCCAAGATTCCTTGCTTGGTAGATTCACCAAACCGTTTAGATTGATCTCAGATCAAGGCCGGCACCTTGCACTATCACACAAGAAGAGACAGAGACATACACTGGTATTCGGCATCACTTGGACATTGCTTCTTCCAAGTTAATGTTGCAGTGCACCGACTGATTATTATTTTGCTCCAGATTCGCAAGATGTTACGACCGGGTGCGGACAACGGCGGCAGTTGTGAAGGATCGTGAGAAGAATATGAACATGTGAGAGTCACGATTGTAACCAAACAACTATCTTTACCCTTGTAACCAACTGGTGCTTGTTTACACATGAAGCTGTATATTGGTGCTTATATTTGTATTTGAAGAAAGCATTAATTGATTACTTTTTCCATAATGTTCTTGCGGATGGTTTGACGTAAAGCTACAGTTTGAGGGAGCAAGGTTCCATGTGTTTCTTTTAACTCTTGTTTTTCACGTTTAAACTCAATATTCAGTTTCACACTTCTTCCCTCATATTCTCGAGTCCTGTGTTATACATGTTTAAAATGAGTGATAGCCGTAATCGATGAGACGGGAACAAGGGCAGCGGCCAGCCAATTAGTGGACGGTCAGCACCGCGGCTAATCTGCCACTGAGCAGAAGCGGGGTGTGAAAAAAAAGTGCATTGCACACCGTCCTACACCCCACTCCAACTAAGCTCCGCACCCGTCTTCCTCCATTTGGCCTTGCCCACCAGTCGCTAACCTATTCCACTTTTTCACTTGAGTGCCCTTCTGTAGCCCTCCTTTGGTGTTTTATCGTGACAAGGGAGCGCGCTCGTTCAAGTACGCCCTCCTTTCGAGTGTTGTCCCGCTCTATTTTGGTCGCCAGGGTCCTTTTGTTTAACTTTACTGCGGCTGTTTCCTAATTTCTTGGGCCTGTCTGGACCAATTATGACGTGTGATTGCTACTTTTTTGCGCCGCCCGCAGGCTGTGGCGTGGCCGGGCTTCTCATGGCGTTTGGGTGCTATTTTGGGTTTTGTCCCTGCTCTCACCCTCCCCACCAATAACCGCTCCCTCCACGTTTTTTGTAGGTGCTCTGCTTTTTGTGTGACACACCCCACAACACCACACCCAACACACACAGCACCACACACACACACCACACCACACACAACACCACACACCACACCACACCACCACCACAACACCACAACACACACACCACCCCACACACACACACACCAACAAACCCAAACACACACACCACACACCACACACCCACCGCATCCACCACACACACCACACACACCACACCACACTACACACC